TAAATGTTAAACTTGCAAATAAGTGGATAAATAAATGTTCAAAAGTGTTGTTTTGTTAAAAGCTTACAAATAAATGGTCAGGGTATATTAAACACCAAACATCGAAAGACTGATTGTGTAAATTCACAAACAATTCCTGAATTTTTACAATGACATCCATAAAAAGTATGTTGCATGGAGAAGTATCAGGTCATGAATGTATGTGTTCTTTATATTACACTGTTCAGCTTTGAGATGCTTTGCGAACACAAAATCATTGCACAGCATTTTCATTTATGTGGCCTGAAAATTTGTCAATGGAATATTGTTGCGTCGCGTCTGGTCGGGACACTGTGTTAGGAAAGCCCAGCATCCTGACAGTAGGGTGTCTCAGCTTGCTGAACTGGCACATGCAACCAGGTTGTGTACTAAATATACATTGAGTGTGTGTGTGTGTGTGAATACTTTCTGATGGATTATACAAAGTAATGGGGTTCCACTGCAGAGGCACCTGCTGGGTTTTGTGTGTGACAGTTTCTGAGAACTGAGAGCAAATTCATGTCAGACTTTGACCTGTTGTGCTGCTGTGCTTCTGTCAGACGGATGGGCAAAATAGTATTATAAATGTGTCTGCATGCAGCTGTGCCTAGTGTCTTTCATTATATAAAACAAATATCGCTTCAAAAACGCCACTGTATCTTCTCAAAAAGCCCGTTATTTGACCGCCGCTTGCGAGCTGAATGGGAAAAAAATGCTAATGCTTTTGTGTTCGAGAGATTTGACTTTTAAACTTCAAACATCTGCCTCGCTCTGCTTGCATCTCTTTGTGCCCCGCTGTGACACATCCCCCTGCAGAGGGGATGATGGGTAGTCCCCTCTCTGGGGCATTAATTGGGAGATGAGGCATGCTGGTGCCAGATTCAAAACATACTTCCGTACCCACTGTATATATATATATATATATATATATATATATAAAATAGTCAACATTTGAAGTGGATCAAAACCTTTCATCAAAGTAAAACCTAAATGCATTCTTGTCTTAGGACAACTTTGAATAACTTTTTTGATCCACTTCAAATGTTATATGTATCCACTTCAAATGTTTATATGTTAACAAATAGTACAAAAATTCATACTTGAAAATATAATATTGATTACATTGTTGATGTAAAAATCTATTAAAAATGTTTTTTTCCTCTGTGTAAGTTGTGTTTATTTTAATGAATTTACATTTGACTAAAACAAAAAAACTTTGCTTCCTCATTTCAGAACACCACCACATACTGTTTTGTTAAAAGCTTACAAATAAATGGTCAGGGTATATTAAACACCAAACATCGAAAGACTGATTGTGTAAATTCACAAACAATTCCTGAATTTTTACAATGACATCCATAAAAAGTATGTTGCATGGAGAAGTATCAGGTCATGAATGTATGTGTTCTTTATATTACACTGTTCAGCTTTGAGATGCTTTGCGAACACAAAATCATTGCACAGCATTTTCATTTATGTGGCCTGAAAATTTGTCAATGGAATATTGTTGCGTCGCGTCTGGTCGGGACACTGTGTTAGGAAAGCCCAGCATCCTGACAGTAGGGTGTCTCAGCTTGCTGAACTGGCACATGCAACCAGGTTGTGTACTAAATATACATTGAGTGTGTGTGTGTGTGTGAATACTTTCTGATGGATTATACAAAGTAATGGGGTTCCACTGCAGAGGCACCTGCTGGGTTTTGTGTGTGACAGTTTCTGAGAACTGAGAGCAAATTCATGTCAGACTTTGACCTGTTGTGCTGCTGTGCTTCTGTCAGACGGATGGGCAAAATAGTATTATAAATGTGTCTGCATGCAGCTGTGCCTAGTGTCTTTCATTATATAAAACAAATATCGCTTCAAAAACGCCACTGTATCTTCTCAAAAAGCCCGTTATTTGACCGCCGCTTGCGAGCTGAATGGGAAAAAAATGCTAATGCTTTTGTGTTCGAGAGATTTGACTTTTAAACTTCAAACATCTGCCTCGCTCTGCTTGCATCTCTTTGTGCCCCGCTGTGACACATCCCCCTGCAGAGGGGATGATGGGTAGTCCCCTCTCTGGGGCATTAATTGGGAGATGAGGCATGCTGGTGCCAGATTCAAAACATACACAGGAAGACAGGAAGCGAGAAAGTGAGAAAGAGAGAGAGTGTGACATGAGGAACAGTAAGAAAAGAGAGGCGTTAAAAAGCCACTGATGACAAAGTGCTCAGAAGCTCCAAAAAGCATGATAATTACATTCCACAGACTTTCTAAAAAACTGAAATGAGCCCTTCAAATTAACTGTTTCAAGCCTGCGTGACTTTCTTCACAAAATATTTTTTTTTGTTGTGTCCTGACAATGAAAGTCAGTGGGGTCCAATGTTGTCTTAAACCCGTTTCACTTTCATTATATTAACAAAACAGTTGAAACATTCTTCAAAATATCTTCTTCAGTGTTCCACAGAAGAATGAAAGTCATACAGATTTGGAAAAACATGAAAATGAGCATTTTCTTTTTAGAAGGGAACTACCCAATAAAATTATTATAACGTTTAAAAAAAAAAAAAAAAAAGTCTATTCAGTAGTTCTCCACCTTTTTAACCATATTGTAGGCCATGTAAGATATTTCTTGCTATTTAGCTATAATAACAAAGCTGCTTGTTTTCAAAGTTTTTTATTTACAGAAACTAGGAGTGGAAGTATAAAATAACTAAAAATAATTTTAAATAATAATAATCAATTTCTGTAATTAAAGAAATTTCAAGAACTGGATTATAGAGTAGTTTGTGATTACTGGATTTTATAAAATTACAAATACCAACTTCTTAGCAATTTATAGCTGATTAAATATTTTAGTACTTGACAAAAAATATATATTCATTATAGAAATTTCCATGACTTAATTAATTAAAGGTGCTGTATTGTAGGATTGACACCGAGTGGTGTAACTAGGTATTGCAGTCCAAGTTCAAAATATTGGAGAGGGATTTTTCACCCAGCCCCTCCTCCTCAGACTTGACGCCCACGCAGGTTGACACCAACAGGAACGAGCACACTTGACGATGAAGGAAATGAAATACGTTGTGTTTTCTGCCAGCTGGCAACCCCGGGTGTCGAAATACAATTGGGTAAACTGGCAGTGGGCGGGTTTCACAAACCACAACAGAGCTGGACATTCCGGCCCGGAACGCACATTTTCAAAGGAGAATAACTGACTGTAGCATTGTTTTTCAGATAAACAAGTATGTTAACTTAGCATGTTTCTTAAATATCTGCAAACATATTATGGTATTTTTATGCTTTAGTAGAGTCAAAAACTTACATACAGCACCTTTAACGTGACACTTCCAAGTCTAGAAATGACACTTTTAAAATTCCTTCATATAGAGCAGTGATGGGCAAACTTGGCCCTTCCAGGCCACTTTCCTGCAGAGATTTGATCCAACCCTGATATGACTCACTTGCCTGTAGCCTTCTAGTAGTCTTGAAGACAATGATTAGCTGGTTCAGGTGTGTTTGATTAGGGTTGGCGCTAACCTCAGAAGGAAAGTGTCCTGGAAGGGCCAAGTTTGCCCACCCCTGATATAGAGTATCCAGGAAAAAAAAACTCTAAAGCATTTGCATTTTCACATTTCTGCCCCAATGGTTGTACTTTGTCAGACCCAGTTATTTTCAGGTGTTATCGAGGATTTTAATGTGATAATGAGATGAGGTCTAATAATTATGATCACCTCAGTGACTCACTTTATTACCAACAATGGAAAAATGCATAGTAAATACGGCCTGTTTCGTTACATATCAGACCAGTAATGTATTGGTAACTCAAAAAAGAATACACATACAAATAAAAATGTGTGTGTGTGCATGTTTTAAAAAATGGGGGAAAATTGCACATTTCTCACCTTTATATGACAGGTGCACTCGGGGTGTTGTGCGGGCGTTGCAATGACAACCCCAGACACATAAGCTCAGGATAAGGAGCAGGGTTTGCATCATGATCATGATAATGACAGCAGCAGTTTACCCACCGAGATCTGCAAGTGTGAGAGAGACAGACACATTCAGTTCATGCATTACATCACTAACAAGTTCATTCACTGGTAACTTGACAGCAACTGTATACATTTTATGAGCAGTTCCAATTTGTTTCCATAAATGAGGCTCATAAAACAAGATTTCAACAACGCTCATGTCTTGTTAGCATAGAAGCACCCACCCTAAAAAGCCCGGTCCTCGAATTTAGACCCGTTAACAGGTCACTGAAAATCGGAGAAAAGTCCCACCCTTTAATAAAGAGGCCCTGAAGAGAAAAGAAAACAAAGTACTAAAGGTGGCTTTTGGCTTTTTAATATTTGACTACTGAAATGTTTCCACACAGGCTGTAAGTTTCTCTGTCTCAGAGCATTTACAGCCATCCACCGTGAGGACTATAAACACCTTCCCAAGGGCAGGCCAGTTAAATTACAACATTGAGCTATTTAAACACAACAGCTCGAATTATCCATAGGTACACAGCCTAGTTTTGTTTTTAGCTTTTTATCTAGAGACAAAAAAAGACAAATATCTGAAGCCAACTGGCCTTTTTCTTGAAAACAGTGTTAGACTGTGTGGGAGAGGGCAGCCAGTCTTTCTGCAGTGGGGACGTGCGCCCAAAAGAGATTAGAAAACTATGCAGTCAGAGAGCAATGGTTTCTTAAGTACGTCTGCCAAATCCTTCCAGCTAAGGCAAATCCATGTCACACAGTCTTGCTTTAAATCTTAAACTCTTAGTCCCGGCCGGCAGGGAATGGCAAACCTACTGTGAGCCTCTGTATCTGCAGAAAATCACCCTGTTCTGAGGTGCTAAACATGGCGGGCACGTATCTACGTAAGCTGTGTACACAGATTTACATGCTTAATGAGGGATAACCGTAACAGGAAATGCAAACACTTGCTAGCATGTTTTATAATGAGACTGGTCAAAGATGTTGAGCTCAGAACAATGCTGATTTATATGTACAATATGTCAGTTACTTTAACTCAATTTAAAGTGGAGCTGACAGCGAGGCACAGTATATTTGTTTTTAAATTAATATTTCATGTTCAATACAAGTTAAATCAACAGCATTGTAGATTACCATAAAAAAAACTTAAAAGGGATAGTTCACCCAAATATGAAAATTCTGTCATTAATTACTCACCCTCATGTCGTTCCAAACCCGTAAGACCTTCGTTCATCTACGGAACACAAATTAAGATATTTTTGATGAAATCCGAGAGCTTTCTGACCCTGCATAAACTGCAATGCAACTACCACGTTCAAGGCCAAGAAAGGTGGTAAGGACATCGTTAAAATAGTCCATGTGACATCAGTGGTTCAACTGTAATTTTATGAAGCTACGAGAATTCTTTTTATGCGCAAAAAAACCCTAAACATTTGTTTTCTTTGCGCACAAAAAGCATTCTCGTAGCAAAAATATCTTAATTTGTGTTCTGAAGATGAACGAAGGTCTTACGGGTTTGGAACGACATGAGGGTGAGTAACTAATGACAGAATTTTCATTTTTGGGTGAACTATCACTTTAATTGTGAAACACAATGGAAGAAAATGGGACCAATTTTGGGAGAATTTAAAAGCAAAAATGTGAAACTTACTATTTCATAAGCACTCACTATTCTTTCACTATTAGAATGATTTCTGAAAGATCATGTGACACTAAAGACTGAAGATTTTCCTCTCATATTGTTTACGTCTTGTGGCAACATAAAAAAAAGGAGTTAAAAAAAAAAGCTGAACCCAGAATAATCCTGTAAAATAATTAGTGTCACCACAAAAGTACAGTTTGCTAGCATTTAACAGATTTGTTGTGGTTCTACCACTAACGGCCTCTTCGCTGAGGTCGTTTTGTAACACGCTATGAAGTGCTGTACTTTGGCCATCTTCCAGGATAAATTACACTCTTCCAAGTGATGAAAAATGACAGAGGAACAATAGCCAAAGAAAGGCGCTCTTTATCTATGATAAATGTGCTACAGCATCACTAATTTGAACTGGAGACCAGAAATGCTTTAGGAGTCGAAGCAGACCAATTGGCCTGATTTTTTAAAAGATATTACAGTCAGCATTTAGCACAACTAATATGTGAGATTCATAAAACAATAGCACTGCTGAATACTCCACCGTCTGCTACTCTTGAAAGGCACCAGTGGGAATGTCCAGTCTGTGAAGATTTCAGAAGATTAAAACCTGGCACAAACACATTATTGTCATCGTGTCAAATTTATCTTACAGATCCAGACAGACAGGAGAGGCCGAGCGCTCCCACATTATGTCTGATTTGCTTCCGTTTGGCTCACTTGTCTTGTTTACATGTAAATATACTCTAAACATTACAAAAGAAGACCATTAACGAATACTGAAATATAACAACACCATTAGGCCTAACTGCAGTGTTGAAGAAGCTACTTTGAAACTGCATCTTGTCAAACTACATTAAGTTACAAGCTACTAATAAAAAGAATCAGATATATATATGAATCTCGATTTGAATGACCGAATAGCATTTGAACAATTCAATTTACACTATATCACCAATAAAGAGAAACAAAAAAGTTAAAATATGTATAAAAAGCATTTGACAAAATACATTTAAAAAATGTAATAACTATTTTCAAATGAGTCATTTTGAGGTTCTTTAAGTGGTTCATTGAATCAGACTTCCAAAATGCTTGTGCAGCTCGCTTTGGAACAAAACATTTAGTTACATGAACAGCTACACTATTTTGTAAACAACTACAGTCACGCTACTGAAAATTGTAGTTAAATTAGTAGTGCCACTACTTTTAGTAACCCAGCACTGATTAACTGTAATAATACACCGCTTTGACTTCTCTGTTTGTTAACAGTACACTTGGCAGTACAGTTCCAAACAATCTGCATCATGCTTTTATTTCTGAACCTGAGGGAGTGCATCTTTTATTTTGAGATGCACTGTAAATGTGAGGGTGCAGTCATGGGTGAGTCCCATAGCCTGGAGAATACCTATCGTTAAGAGTCAGCACATATCTGCTCTCTAATTATATGCCTCAAGTGGCTAAAGGGGTGTCATTATCACTGTGTGTGTGTGTGTGTGTGTGTGTGTGTGTGTAAGTGAGCCACACCTGCACACGGAGCAACAGAATGATGAGGTTCTTATAAAACGGAGAGGAAACTGAGTGAATCTGAGAATAAACAGAGGTCAAGGACAAGGGTGAGGCAATAAAATGAGCAGCAGAGGGTAAAAGACAGACAGCAGCGAGGATGAATAGCAGATGAATAAAAAACAAGGGATGAGGTGTGAAAAACACTATCTAGATATGGATTTAAAGTTGATTTAAAGGTATTTCACATGCTAATTCATGATATTACTGAATCAACTTCTTTCAATGGAAAATTAACTATATCTATTAACTAAAACTTAATGACATGTGAAAAATACATTTAATCTGTTAAAAAGTATGAACATGGTTTGATAGCTTCCTGTTGAACGTAAGATTCAGTTGGTTAAAATGTATGAAAATTAAATAAAATTGGATTTATTAATGATAAATATATAAACCTGTTTACTGTGCATTTAAAACATATGCAGTGCATTAATACTATTACAAAAATCTCATGTTTCATTTATGTATGACTGACAAATATGCATCATATTAAGTTTATTAGTTTATGCTAATAATCCAAATGGATGGAAACTTTAAATGCAATTAAAATACACAAATCTTAAGTTTAAATAATGACATTTCTGGTGAACTAGTCCCTTAATTAAAATAGTATAAAACAGAAAAAACGAATACAAATATAATTGGGCAAAGACTCTCTCTCTCTGCGCTCGTTTCTGTCCCAGTCTTTAACAACTCTATTTTTCTCTCTCCAGCTGAGCTCCTCTTCAAGTGGAAATTAGTTTCCATGCAACAGGCATGAATACAGAAAACCAATAGTGCAGCGCATTTACCATTAAGGAGCCTGGGTATGTGGAAACAGTAGGTCATGGGGCGACCTGACACAAAGGATTCTGGGAGACTTTCCCTCAATGATTCAACTGCAGTGGCTCCCTCCTGCTGAACCAATGTCTGCATTTTCACTCACAGGACCCTTTAGAGCAGCTCTAATTGACAAATAAGAAACTGCGATTTACAAAATGTCATATTTCTGAGGATATGACGATATTTAGAGGTCATTTTGAATCTAGATTTAAAACCTTTAAAAGAGCGTTTGTAAGTCATTAAATTCATTAAAGAAAAATACACAGACCTCTTTAATGGGCCTCCAACAAAGAAAGACTTTTAGCAGGGGAGCCCCAAGGACTAAAGCGAGACATAAATTGATCACATGACAAACACCCTGCGTGTCCCCCATTATTTAAAAGAATGTTAAATCTCTGTGAATCGGTTGTTTTTAAATCAAACTATACGGCTAAGAGTTTCAAGGGTGCATTTCCAACAGCTCATCTAGTCAGTAAAACGGATCTGAGAAACTTCAGAATCAAGTGGAAGGCCATTTCTGAGCTCTGAGGGATCGTCTAGAGCTGATAACCCTGTGCCACACATTCCTCCACAAAAGACAGGCCATTTCTCAATTCAAAGACCTGTTGGTGCTCATCAGTCTCGCAGTGACAGAAGACTCTTCCTTACATGTCTGTCCAGTCTCTCTTTGACATCTTTGTCCTTTGATGTAATCTTTTTAGCGCTTATGTACACCAAGCATTCGGTTGGGGCATTTTAAATCATTTAAAAAAATGATTTAAGGGTTCTAATGGATGACTTCATCTTAAATTTCTTGTGCACAAGTCACTAGATTAATGAAACCAGGAAAACCATCCCTGCTTCTGTGGGTTGGATTACTGTTGGCTTCTCATGTGATGAAGAGGCCTAGAAGCCTATATCTCGCTACAAAAACAATCACAATTAACTGAGAGCTTCAACTGAGACTCACACTGTGCTTTTAAACCACAGCGGCCAGCAACCTTTAACCAAAGACACACAAAACACAATGACAGCATCACTAAAGATGGAT